AGTTCTGATTCTACCATGAAAGTTTTAGTATCAACTTTGCTTTTAAAAATGGTTATGAATAAGGCAGTCTTGAAAAGTTAATTTGTGTTTGCTCTTTGGGACCAGTTCATTGGCTCTAGGGGGGATGAGGGGAAAAAGTCTGCCAAGAAACAAAATACATGAGGAGCAGGGGGGTTATATTAATATTAACTTCACATTTAAATTTCAGCTATTTCCCATGAATAATAAACAGTCCTCAATCTGGAGATCATATCAGGTTCTTCTGGTCCTAAAATGCTATGATTCATTTTTGAAATTTGAAATTAAAATTATCCATATGTAATTACATTAATTTATTAGTTTGCTTGCCATCTGGTTATTTTATATTTTTGCATTTTTCTCCCTTAATCTTTTGTTTCATGGCTTTTATAAATATCAACCTCACCATTTGTCTCAATCCTTGAAACACATATATAACACAAGTATACACACGCTTTACTATAGTTACGCAATTTTTTTCCTTTAAAGACAGATTTCTGCATATATTTTAAACCATAATTCTTCATCTCTAAGGCTGTAATGAAATTGGCCGTAGAGCATGTCAGATGTGATAACATTATTGATTTTTTGGATGAAATCAGAGTTGTAAAGATTGTTTTTCATTGTTTAATTTCTTTTCATGCCTCTAAAACAGAACCCAGTAAAATCTGCAAGCACCTCTGAGCTGCAGAGTGAAAGCAAGGTGGGAGCACAATGGAAAAGGCCGGCCAGGAGGCGCAGCCCCGCTCTGCGTCCAAGAAGTGGGACCTGGGAGGGGCATTTGCCCATACTGGCCTGGCCTGCGGTTCCTTAGTTGTAAAATAAGGACGTTGTAGTATATGAGCTCTAGGGGTTCCTCAGTATTATAATGTGAAACTAAAGTTTGATTAATAGTTTTTAAAATCACAAATCATATCTGTGTAATACATTTCTGCAAAATCATATCTTTCAAATATCTTTAGAGCCATTTAGCTTTTAATCTTCAAGTTCAAGCTAATAAATATTAGAATTTTTTTTCTTTGGCAATATATGTTAGGCACCCTCCCCTTCTCCCCACCCCAAAGAAAATCTTGATATTATACTGGTTCTGTCTTCTCAGACATTCATTTTCTTTTCCTTTAAACTAAAAAGTCAAGGTCTAAGGTGAATCTCCTGAGAGTCATCCTGGCTCTCAGTCGTACTGAAATATAAGCTCAGTAGTATTGAAGTATCAAAACTTCAATAGTATTGAATTATAAGCTGGGCTGTTAATACTGCATGAGTTTAGTGTAATTCTACCTTATTTATTATTTCTGTCAGATAACCTAAAAGGAGTAAACACCTTTCTTTTGTCTAGCATACTTGTTAAATTAGACATATGGGGAAGGTACCATAGGTTCCTGAATGGTAGAACACATGGAGTATGAGGAAACCACGCTAACATTTATGTTAGTGGTGGTCACCACCACAAGTTCGGTTTGGCTGGGATGTCCTATGTCTGATCCTTGTGCCTTTATGGTATCTGCAAATGCCTTGATTATAACCAAGCTCTGGAGGAAGGCAAACACTGGTCGAATCAAGTCTTTATTGAAGCTGCTTTTTTAAATGTTCAAGAGATGGCAACATTAGTTTTGCATTGCTGCTGTGAGACATTACCGCAAACAATGTCATGAAACAACAAAAAATAATTTTCTTTAAGTTCTGGAGATCAAAAGCCCAAAATGGGCCTTAAAGGCTAAAATGAAAGTCTTGGCAGGGCTGTGCTCCTTCTGGAGGTTCTAGGGGAGAACTGTTTTCTGCTTTTTCCAGTTTCCAGAGGCTTACCGCATTCCTTGGCACGCAGCCCTTTCTTCCCCTCATTCTGATCTCTGTTTCCGTCATCACATCTCCTCCTCTGACTCTGACCCTCCTAAGACTGGCTGTATAAGGGCCTTTGTGGTTAGATGGGGCCCACCTGGTAATCCAGGATAATCTCTTCATCTCCTTGTCCTTAATTAATCGCATCTGCTGAATTCCTCTTGCCATGTAAGGCAATTGTTCCTAGGGTTCTGGGGATTAGAGTGTGGGCATTTCTGGGCCATTATTCTTCTGCCACAGATCTCTTCTGGTCATTCAGGTCGTCACTGACATGTCACCTCCTCAGGGAAGCTTCCAGGGCACCTAGAATCCCATCTACTCTGGTCACCTGTTCACCTTTTTTTATGAAATCTGAGAATGCTATATTTATTTTTTTAATTTATTTTTTATTTACTTGTTTATTTTATGTCATTTCATTGTCAGCCTTTGTCTCTGTGCACTAGACGATGAAGCTCACTAGAGCAGAAACATGGTCAGTCTTCTTCGCCCCGTTATCTGCCCAATCCTAGTCCCCAGAACTTGGTAGGCTCTCGGAAGATGTTTGTCAAATGCATCAATCTGTATATAGTCTAAGGAAGCCTTGCTTACATTAAAACTATATTAATACACTCCCATTCCTCTTACTATCAATAATGCAGACATTTTTTACTACATCGCACATGCTGCGTAGCAAAAAATAGTAAATCTATTTACATGTGCTGTCAATAGACTTTTTTTTTAGAGTTTTAGTAATGGATTTCTCTTTGGGATATGGGTGAGATCAATATAAGAAAATACCAGATATAAAATGAAGCTACAGAAAAAAAGAAAATATGAGAATTAGACAGAATTAATGCAAACAGTAAATATCTTGCAAAAAAAAATGGTAATGTTATCTTGATCCAAGCTGTAAGCATGACACTGTGAGGAATAAGATGCGACCTCTGCCCTGTTCACCAAGTGCAGAGAAGGGATGGAGGAGAGAGACATTCGTTTTGATTGAGACATCAATTCTGAGAAGCAGAGCTTTCTTCAGTCTGTTCCCAAAACGAGATAGTTAACTTTTTAGGAAACTCAAAGAGTTCTCAGACAAAAGGAAAGGCATTCACGTGGCATTCAGAACAAACTTGATGGAAGGACTGCCTTTTATAAGCAGGTTATTTATAGCTGTTCAGTTGTTGTTCATTTATGTATCCAGGTGGTTGATAAAACAAACATTCAAATGAATTAGTCAGTTTGGAAATACTTATTGAGTACCTGATGCTAGTCAGTACTGAGGTCCTGATTTTAAACTGCTTGGGATTGAGGAGAAGTGGAGAAGGGGGCTGGATGAGGTTGGGGCAACTTTGTGGAAGAGGAGTATTTGGGCTGAACTCTGTCCCTGCCAAAATTTATATGTCGAAGCCCCTAATGTGACTGTATTTGGATATAGGACCTTTAAAGAGGTAATTAAGGGTAAATGAGGTCAAAAGTGTGGGCCCTAATCCAATATGACTGCTGTCCTTGTAAGAAAAGAGAGAGAGAGAGAAAGATAGAGGAAGAGGAAGAGATAGAGGTAGAGATAGAGAGGTAGGTAGAGATAGATACATCAGGGGTTCGCACACAGAGAAAAAAGGTCATGTGAGGACACAGCGGGAAGGTAGCTGTCTGCAAACCAAGGAGAGAGGCCCTAGGACAAACCAAATCTGCCAACACTTTGATCTTGAACTTCCAGCTTCCAGAACTCTGAGAAAGTAAATTTCTGTTGTGTAAGTCACCTTGTCTGTGGTTATGGTAGCCCTTGGTAGACTAGTACAAGGAGGAACTTGACCTAAGTCTTGAAGGATAGATAGGGCCATTTCTGGGAAATGGTGTTGGCGAAGATCACTACCTAAGGGCCTAATTCAGAAAAGCACTCAGCAGAAGTGATGAGTGAAAGCCACAGAAAAAGTTGGAGCTTACATAGCTTGTTGAATTAAAGAGCAGAAAAGAGAACTGAGAGTGAATAGGGTGTGAGTGGGTCCTTGGGGACTCGGGTGCCATTATGTCTGGGATGGGGAGGTGATTGTGCAAGATCTTATATCCAGGGAGAGGAGGTTTGTATTTGACTCAGTAGAAAATCTGAGGCTAACATTTGGGATTTGGGATTTTGGTAAGGAGTCAGTTTTGGAATGATCAGGGAGGATATGATCTGTGGCAGATATGGAAATGAAAAGTTAGATGTGGCTTCAAGAACAATCATAAAATAAAAAAGATGTTAAAGTTTGGTGATAGCTGGGTGTTATTGGGAAGAATGAAGAGTTTGATTAATGAAGTTAATGAGGCTGAGAGGTACTAGGGAGTTCTTCATCCCTGAGGTTTCATGAGGATTGGAATATGTTTGCACTTGAGCTACTGCATTGTCTCTCCCCCCATTGCTTTTAAATACTTTAAAACAGAAGAGTTATCCTTTCTTTCCAAAAAGCTTTAGTATTATTAAGTGCTCTCCTTTCACCTTATACCATAAGCCCACTGTGTGTGAAAATTCCAGGGATGTTCGGGTGCCCTTTATGCCCCACAGGATCCTGGGATGTTCCTTCCTAAGATGCTCTGGTTCTCGGAACAGCAACATCATCCGTTTCACATGCTACATAAATTCAATTGCTCAAATGGTTTTTATCTTTAAAATAGTGTTTGTTTTTTCTCACTCTCTGGGAGTTGCAAGAATGGCATGGAGAATACTGATTTTTTTTTCCCCAAGAAAATTTTGATAGGCGATATTTGCAGTAGACGGGCAGAGGTTCAATTTTCCTCTTGGGAAGATATAGAAGCCTCCATGAAATTATGTTTGGTAAATTAGAACTGAAATATTTTTGAAGTTATATAGTGTGACAGGATGAAAAGTTTTTTAAAATCATACTGCATCATTTTACTCTTGAATTGAGTATATTTTGCTCCGTTTCTTTTTTAATTTTAAAGGAAGCAGCCATTTAATATAGAATAAAATAAATGAAGTTCAGTCTTCTTGGAAATGAAATGTTAAGCTACTTGAGATAAATAAGAAAAGTAGGGCACTTGCCCTCCTTGGTTAGGTAGTACTTCAGACTGGTGAGTGCTTTGTATACTTTTTTTAATCCATCATAAGAAATGCTTATCGTCTGATTGCTATGGCTGAATAATAAATACCTTTTATCTTTTTGATATTGCAGTTGACTCATGTTGACCAGGCAAGCTTCCAGGTTGATGCCTTTGGAACATCATTTATTCTTGATGTCATGCTAAACCAGTAAGTCTTTGTTGAGCTGCACTCACTTTTGTTTGATACACATTGAATCCACTTTCTTATCCTTCTACAAAGTTTTATTTTCTTACATATTTTACTTCATCTTCCTATGTCAGTTAAATAGTACATTGAAAACTTTTATCTATTAATGTAATACATATTATATTTATTGTAAGTCAGAAAGTGTGGCAAACAACAGGTAATGGATATCCATTTGAAATTGAAAAGCTATAACAGATTTAAGAATGTAATATGAAGGGCAAGACTTACTTCAATATTTTGCATAAGAATATGTGACCTAAGTTTCTATGAATGACAATGAATTGAGAAAATAATACTTTTGGTATCACAACATCTTTCTTAAAAACAGCAGAAAAGAGAAAGTTATGCTTTCACTCAATGGTTCAGAGGACTGGCTGCCAGATGTGTTATTGCTAATAATGCCGTTGGATGCTTTGATTTGGGAGTTGATTTCTGGGTAAAGGGTAATGGGATTATTCTTTTAAGTACCATATAATTTTGGAAATTGTCTAGAATTTTAGGTTTGGAATAACAGAATTTTAGGTTTGGAAGTGGGTTTTGATAAATCACTGGATAAATCTGGTGTCTCTAATAAGCCTCACAGGACTCTTAGTTGCCTTTCATTTTTTAAAAAAAGGATTTGTATCCCACTTTTTACCATGGGCAAGTGGAAAGAGACCAGTGCTCTGCCAGCCAGTGTTTCTGAGCTGAGCAGCAATGCCCAATAGCTTTGCTAAAAACAGCTATGTCAAGGCTCAGGAAGAAAATTTGAGGCCAGACAGACAGAATGTAGACCTAGAATGAGAACTAAAGCCTAAGTTGTCTACACTGGGGAGCCAGGTAAATGGAAGACTAAAAAATGTATATTTGAGGCAGGACTCAGAGTTGTGACTTCTGGGCAAGGGGCCACTAGCCTCTTGTGGCTGTTAAATACAAATTAATTCATTTAAATAAAATCTGAGATTCTGTTTTTCAGTGGTTTCTCACATTTCCAGTGCTCGGTAGCCATGTGTGGCTAATGGCTATCTTACTGGACAAGGCAGAACATTGACATCTTTGCAGAAAGTTCTGTTGGAATCTGCTGGTTTAGGAATTTCTTCTGGGGGTGGACACATAAGAACTGTTAGACTGCTGAGCTTGGTCAATCATTTCAGTCCAAGATCAATGGGTTACTTTAATAATTTTATTAGTATCCTGATTTTTATGGTATTTATTTACAAATTGGTGGCAATACCATTTTTGTTGTGTTAATGTTTAAGCCATATGTTAGTTTACTTTTTAACTAAGCTGTCTCAAAAGGTACATTTTGTAAGTAGTTCTCCCCTCTCCTCACATTTTTGGAGTTCACAAACAATTTAAATACTAAAAACCATGGTTTTAGATGGAAATTGGCTCTTTGGGTGATCCAGTAATAGGAGTTGTTTCTTCTTTGATAATGTATATTTTTAAAAGGTAACATAAATTATATTTCTACTTTGCTCGTTAAAATAGAGCTTATTTCTTTTCTTTTTAATTAATGGCCTAGAACATAGGTAATTAAATGTCTTACACCACACTGCCCACCTTGTATCTTTTAACTTAATTTCATAGGGTATAAGTAGTATTGTACTAATATGATCTGTATCTTATATTCCTATATTCCTACTTGATGTAAATACCCTCAAATTTACATGTTTAAATGACTCATTACATTTTTTATCAACTTTGATATTAAAGTTTTAAAAAACTCATTATAAAGGCATGTATGCTCCTTAAAAAATAATGGAAAAGTAGAAAGACAACCTGACATAATTCTACCACTCAGAGACTGAATGCTGTATTTTGAGTCATCACCGTCTCTGCCCTGGCACCCCTATCCACCGTGCTACCTGTTCTCCTGCCCCGTTTCATTTAAAAAATATTATTCATCACCATTTAATAGATAGGTTGACTCATGTGAAGTTGCCATTTTTGCAGGGCAAAATTTGACTACTCGCATTTTTATGTGATCAACTAATACCTTGTATTTTAATTATTTATTTTGTTTATTATCTTTTTACTCCCACTAGAATGTAAGCTCCTTGAGGCAGAGATTTTCTCTTCCCTCACTGCTGTATTCTTAGCACAGAATAGGTGCGGAATTGCTGGGAAGTCACGTTGAGTTGAAAAGCAGAGGCTGGAATTAGCCAGGAGACAGAGGAGATGACTGGCTGAAAATGGAGACTGTCAGTCAGGGAAGAGTGAAGAAACAAAAAAGAAAACGAGGACAAACGTTTGGGACTAGCTTCTAAAAGCTGAGCATACATATTTAGGTGTGACCTGAAAAGTCAGGTTCCTAGGGTCCTATTTCAATGACTCTCTCCCATCTGTCCTTTAAATCATTGTTCTGTAGCTGGCCCCTGCCTTGCTTTCTGGTTTCTGACATTTGTAACACCTTGCCTTTAGTATTCAAACAAAGAAGGGGTATTTATTAATGTCCATTCTGCCCAAACTACCTTACTTCCTGTGGTGAAATCTGAGCCTCAAAACGTTCTGTTCTGTTCCTGAAGGAAAAAAATACATATAACCATATATATCAGAGCACAAAACTGAGAATTCTAGGGATGAAGCAGAATTTCTTTTGAGATACTGGCAAAAAAACCTTCATTGGGCATTTCTCTTCTTACTGCAATGGAAATATAAAATTACAAGAAGTACAAAGGATAAAGCAATAGCATCAGTGGAAATTCCTGGACTGAGAAATATGCAGAGTGCATTTTTTCCCTCCATCTATATTAAACATAGGTGGAAGGTAGCTGATTTCTTTATGCTATGAGAGCCAGGATGATTTAATACAAAGGGTTTTTTTTTTTCTTCTTGTTTTTTGAGAATGTTTTTATTTCATGGTTTCAGTTTATATATTGTGGTTGTGTTAAGGAGGAGGAAGAAAAAATTGAATATGCTCTTTAAAAGCTTTTATCTTTTGAAGCAATTTTAGGGCTGTGGAACAGGTAAAGTTTTTTGTTTATTTGTTATGTTCTAAACTGGAGACAACTGTTTATCTGTAGCTAGAGTCCAGTTGCAGAATAGGTCAAATAATACATATTTTAAAGTTGGAGTGGAAAGAAAAGTGTCATTACATGTTACTCCTTCTGAATGTTTGGTAAACAAGATTATCTTTAACCAAATTACACAAGGGTTCAACCTTTGGGTTGTAACTTCTACAGGAGGCAGATAGAGAATATTGAGTAGTTAAAAGTGAAAAGCACAGCCAGTGCCTATTTTCTCAAGATTATGAAGGGCAGAAGACAATTTTGAGTTCCTTCATGGGGTCACACAGTTGGGAAATTTCACTCTTTAGGACAGATATACCAATAAAACCAAACATGTGGCCTGACCGAGTCAAACTAGTCCTGAGGCCTTTCCAGAGGTCAGCAACTAGTATTATATTAGATTGTGAACCATTTCTCAGAATGAAGTCTTAAAAAAGACATTTAATTACATTATTTGAGCAATTTAAGCCAAGTCTTTTCCTGTAAATCTGTAAAGTTCTTCAAGAAGTGGGTAATTAAATTCCCCAAAATAATGCACAAATATTGAAAAAATTTTCATTCGATACTCCTTGGTTCTTTTATAGCAGGTGACTTGAGAAAAACAAACTGCACATATATACAGACACATGCTCACTGTCCACAAAGAAGCAAATACTCCACATGGACGGTGGTTGGTTATTCTGGGATGTGAAATGTATAATTGGGAAGAAGGAATCCATCTTTTATAAACTATGTTTTGGAAGGGATTCCGTGATATAGCTTGCAGACCTTGGATGATTCTACGCCTAAATTTTGACTGTATGTTACAGATTTTTTCCCTTTTACCTTCTTACTTAACAACAAAAATAGTTTATTTCAGTTATGATCCTTTGATCAGTCTCTCTTTTTTTCCATATGTCACAGTGCAGGGTGGGGAGGACCCCAGGGACTCGAACGTGAAGCTGTCAGCAGATGGGGTTGCCCATACAGAATGGGAGGTAGGGTAACGATGGCTGGGGACGGACAAATGCGGGGAGCAGGAGCAAGTCAGACAAGGAAAACTCAAAATCACTTCAAATGGGCAAGTCCAGTTTTGTCTTCTCTCATTTAGGAGAACCATTTGCCTATTAGTCACTGCTTGCTTGCTTTGCACTGGGACTCGTGAATTTGCAGGGAAAGTAGGGATCACAATGGGTAAAAGAGAGGGTATGAATTCAGCTGGATTTGGATGTGAGCTCTGGAAACGTCTCATTTACTTAACTTAATGCTATTTACAGCACTGTAAATACATGTAGATATTTACTGTGTGGATAAAAATAAGTGATGAAAATAAGATAAAAATAAATGGTGATGCTATATGATGATAATGAATAACAATAGATCTCTCACTGTTACCAATAAGTAAATCTGTAACAGAATATCTCGCTGTTCAACTAAATTATTATGGTAAATATTTGTTTATTTGTACATTTAATACAACATTATGGTGTCGAAGAGAAGTCTGTGTTAAAGAGTCCTTACCAGTAATGGTCCTTTTCTTCATTTTATACACATACACATAATATGTATATAAACACATATGCATACACACCTGTGTATATGTACTTAATATATATGAATGCATACACATATGTGTATATATATGCATATGTACACACATATATACATTTCTTAAGCCTCTAATAAGTGCTAGGGGTTCTTCTAGACCATGAGGACTAGTTAGAAATGAGGACATAAGCACCCTCCTGTTGGGGAGTCTGTATTCTAGTCAGGAAGACAGTGAACATGTTCACAAAGTAATTTGAGAGACTGACAGTGCCATTATTAGCAAGTACCTTGTATAAAGGAGAGGGTGCTATCTGAGCTGGTTATCAGGGACAGGCTATTTCTGAGGAGATGACATTTGAACTGCAGGGGCCCTCAGCCAGAGAGAGCAGCAGGTGTCAAGGCCCTGAGGCAGGAACAAGCTTAGCATGTTTGAGAGACAAGAGA